GGTCCTTAAGCATGCAAGTAGTATTACAAGAAATTAATCAGAGAAGAGGCCAAGGGAAATATTTTCATTGGAACCAAAGCTGGAAATTTTTTCAGACAACAGTGAGACCATCACAACTCTCGGTCGAGTTTAAAAAGTGAATCTATCAATGATCAGATCACTCCAAAGATGTGCTGAGACACCCTTGAAAAACTCAGTACAACACATGTGGTTTGTCTGTCAGGTTTACCAGCTGTGTGAGGAATCCTTTACTAGATAAGATGAAGAAAATAATAGCTGTGAGGGTAAATGACAATCATATCTAAGTGCCACTAATTTCTAATATTATTCACCAGAAGGCAATGAAAATTTACAGCATTTTATGTCAGGAATAAGTGAATCTGCTGACAGTTTTCAGGCAAGTAAGAGTTGGGCAATAAGTTACTGAGGCAGCCGTTTCTTCATAAAATTAAGTTCATTGGTGAGGCAGTGAGTGCTGACCACACTGCCTCAGTTGCCTCTCCTGAGAAGTTTAAGGCAGTGAGGCAGGCAGGAGGCTGTGCTTACCCCCTTAAAAGCACAACTGATTTGGTCGCTGTACCTCCCAGTGTGCAATAGATGGCACGACGCACTTTACAAAATAACACGTGAAAGGGTATACAGTAGAAACAAAATATATAAAAAAAACATTAACTAACCTTATTGGTTTATAGGGAGGTGAAATTGTTGTTGATTGTGGTAGCTACAATCCCCTGCAAGCGCGACCTCACAGCGTTACTCGGTGTATAAAAAAAAAAAAAGATAATGCCATACAATATGTAACCATGCGGTAGCCTTAGGCAGACTTCCCAAGTGTTAGCAGTGTGGCTGGCCAGCCAGAAGCCATGTGGAACTTGCGAAAGAAAATGGAAAATTCAATATACAGGCACCAGAACTTTTACCACACAGTGCATGATTCACTATACAGTACAATACACTACAAAACACAGATGGCACAGTAATTGTTGCTCAACGTCTAGATTGGGAAAAAAAAACATTATTTACCGAGCTGGCGAATCCTAAGTGTGTATTTTTTTTGTTACATTGAGATCAATGGGAGGTTGAAGTGTTTCCTGCCGTTATGGTATATATATAACTGTGTACAGTACTGACATTTCAAGGCTGGCTCAGTCACTCATTTTTGTCAGAAGTGTCATCTCTATACAGCTAATACGGTGTGCACAGCCAGCAGCACTCAAAATATGGCATAAAACTAAGACACTGTACAGTATTCATTTAACCTAAGTTGCAACAAGCAATCTTGTAGCATCATCCAAATCTGACCTGCTTGCTGGCTGACTACACCGAGTACTTGGTCCAAAAGTGAACTGAACTCAGACATTTTGTTTAATAAAGCAGCAGGATCATCAACAATGAGTTCTTTATGAACAACTGTTGGCTGTGTCTGATACCAGCCAGCAGGAAAGGGGTCTGTGATCTGCCAGGCTCTACACAACCTGCACCATCAGTCAGTGAGAGGTTTAATGATAGCACCATACAGTACTTTGACCATCTTTAAACCTTTGAGGACAGCGATAGCAACTTGTGGTCATTACCCACTGGAAGGATGAATACAAAATAGAAAAAATCATAAAACATTTGAATCTTGCCATAAATTTCTGATTTATGCATCACAGGTCAGGTGGAGTAAACAAAGAATCACTCCAATCCCATATGAAAGCCTCATGGGTGGACATCACTTGTGGAAGCTGTCCCAGAACCATCAACATATTCATTATTTCACCCAAAGTTCCTCTATGATTCAATAGAATCACTTGTCAAATCTTGAAGAAAATCTCCATCTTCACTTTAATTACTGTCACCATGCTTAGGAGGGTCATCCTTGTCTCCAGAATCAAATATAACTGCGTCAATTTCCTCCTGCATGGGACACGGCGGCACACACAAGCGGATGCAGAACATTTTTACTCAGTCATGGGGCAGTTGCCAGAAGGCTTTACATTATGCTCAGTAGAAACAAAGCACGAGAAATTTATACAGTAATGGGCCAACAAAAAATATAACGCAACTGTTGTGAGATATTATGTGTGTAGTGTGCTGGGACCCTCCTTACTGTACCTGTTGTGTAATATGTCCACAAAGGGTTAATAAACAATAAAATAGGTTACAAGATTAATATGGACCAAAGTGGTCCTCTTTAAATATGTATACCACTGAGAAACTTATTTCCATGTATGAGAGGTGAGCCTCATGTTTTAAGGCAGTGAATGACAGCTTAACTATAATTCAATGTGACAACTTCAAATACAAACCACTGCTAGGGTACCACTTGAAGAATCCCTGGCCACTGAAATACCTGAGCTAACATACTGCCTGTCCACTGGAGATAAAAAATAAATGCATGAGTGAATGCAAGAAAACTGGCTAGTACAGGTCTTCCTCAATTTACACACGGATTACGTACATTCATAAATAATTGCCAATAAATCAACTTTCTGTATATGTACAGTGCTGAGTCCTCTCTTCCCACTAATTTCCATTACCCAAGTTGTAATCAAGTCACAGTGAAGGCCTTGTTAAGTACGGTACACATGTAAAGATAAAACAAGTGTTATGATAAAACATTTATACTGTATTTATATTTTATGCAATCATAATAAATCATGAAACAAAAATACTGTAATCACTAGAAACGGTCATATTCACAAGGTGGTGGTAATGGTGTAAGATGTAAGCACCACTAACCAGGGGATGGGCACAGGTGACCCAGTTGAAGCAAAGTTTTACAGCTCAATGCCCTTCCTAACACCAACCCAAAGAGTGATAATGGCTAGCACAGACCGGTTGTAACTCCTTGAGGTAATCAAAGACTATCTGCCTACAGAAAAACAAACATACTGTATGTTCTTACAGGACTCAAGTTTGAAAATTTTTTGTTCATACTGGATTTGATTTTTGGTATGGTTCTAGCCGAGGAATAAATCTAAAGCATTGTTTGTTCCAGTTGTATGTTTAATATATAGTACTGGGGATTTGACTTAATCCCAAGGTGCTATCACATGACACTTGCCTTCAAATTCTCCAATATTACAGACCATTCATTATGCTTTCAGTTTCTGGATATTTTGGGTTGTAGAATTTCAGATAAAGGATCTACGACATGTATATAAATTCTTTGAAATACTAGTACAAGGGGTCCCCCAAATTCGCAGGTGTTAGGTTCTCAAAATGGCCACGAATCGCCAAGGGATAACATTTGCTGTTCGGGGTTCATTTTTATTTGTGTACAAAGAAATGTATATTCCCTTTATGAGTTTGCCCTTACGACAATATTTCTTTTACCTGTATTGTATACAGTAGAAGTCCAAAAATCCGGACTGCTTGGGGATTGGGTCGGTCCGGATTTTCGGATTTTCCGGATTCTCAGGCAGTACTTTTAAAATTCAAATTTAAGGAGGAATAAAGAAGAGATGAACAGGTACATTTTGATAGTTTATTCATTAGCAAATATAGCATGTTCCATTTATCAAAACGAGCAGTTTTAAAGAAAAAGCTGTGAATTCTAGAATTTTATTCTTTGCCTTTTTTTCTATCATAAATTGTAGACTTTCCAATGTCTCATGTTTCCATAAGAACAGTATTGTTCACACCACGTTGTATTTTCTTAATTATTTCAAGTTTGTCACTCAATTTCAACGTGTTCTTCTTTCTCTTCACACAACGAAGTTTATCTACTTTGGGAGCCATTATTATGGGCTTGTACAGTACTCTGTAAATGGAAAGAGTAGAACTCAAAATTACATACGTTGTCACAGTTTGATTGCTCGTTTTAAAGTGGCGACCGCGTGGTCGCTTGTTGTCACTGTGCAGCTGTGACGCTCACGCATACTCATATACGCACAAAAGCCCGCTAAAAAAAAAAAGTTTGAGTTTTCGAAAAGTCCGGATTCTCGGGTGGTCCGGATTTCTGGCATCCGGATTTTTGGACTGTATATGTGTGTGTCAGCACACACACACACACAAAACACATACAAATAAATAATATTGGGAAAAATCTCACACAAATAATCAGAAACAAATTTATTGAAAATGTGAGTCTACCCTCAAGTCTGTGTTTTATTTCTTTATTAATAAAGCACGAACTTGAGGGTAGACCATCACATTTTTAATAAATTTGATTCCGATTATTTGTGCGAGACTTTTCCCAATAATATTTATTTGTATGTGTTTTGTGTGTGTGTGTGTTGATACACACACACATATTTACAATACAGATACAGGAAATTACTGTCTCTAGAACAAATGGCTCCCTGTCCCAGCCGCGAAAATGACGGCAACTTTTAAACTACCCACAGACATTCTTGAGTACATCCAGTGTCTCATCCGCAAACAACTGAGGACCACGAAATAAAAATCCGCAAATTTGGGGACCCCTGTACTGAGGACTGCCTAACCAAGACTAAACACATGAGATGAATCACTTATATACAGACATCCAGAAAAGACAGTGGGATCACCTGCTTGGTATGTGGGTGTAGTAAGATATGAGGGAGTTGATGCCTGAATACAATCTGTGGCCAACCTAACAAACAGGGCAAAATGGGCACTAGTTGATGTAGTGTCAAGTGGTCATTGGGTCTCTTCCCTCTAGTTAACTGAATGGAAATCCTCTGCCTCTCACTCGCTCAAGGCAATGGTTGCAGGAGGGGAGGACAGACTATTAGTACTGGCCATCTATACCAGGTCTTCTGGCCTGGCTCTAGTTCAGTGGGCTATATATACACAGTATATTCACAGAGCATGCCAGGGGATAACTATTACCACAATCACCATAAATTTTCAATTTACAATAGTTAAAATTGTATTCAATTCAATCTCTTTAATTTTCACTTCATAAATGTTCATCATATCCCATCTGTGATGAACTATACATATTCTTGGATGAAGTTATAAGCAATAATCTTAAAAATTTCACCTGATAACTTGTGTAAATTTTACATGAAACACAACAATAGGTCTACCTTAACTTCCTTGAGGAGAAAGAAGAGATCCTCAACTTCATCTCCTTCTGTGGGTTTATAGGTGATGGTGGCAGTGTTAAGTGAGGAGCCCTGGATAATTCGGCGGTACAGAGGAACCCCAACAGCTTCAGCATAAACTGCAACACCCATGTGACCCACACTCTGATACATGTAACTATCCAATTCATCTGAAAAGAAATCACCTGGTACATAGAATATAACCACAAAGAGTGTGTGTGTATATGTGTGTGTGTGTGTGTGTGTATATGTGTGTGTGTGTGTGCAAGTGTCACATGGTTTATGGGGATGGATGTGTTGTTGAAGAGTGATGCTGAGTTGTGGGAAATAAAAGGGGTAGACAGGAGAGAAATCTTGGGGCTGCATTGTGGAAGAATAATAAACAATAGAACATATCTACTACAGTAGTTAGACAATGTGAAAGATGGCTGATGATGTAAGAGTTTTTGTAGCTCTTGCTTCTGCCCAAGCATACAAAAGATTGCAAATGAAAAGAATAAAAATTACATTAATTTTACAAAGTATCTTAAATTTTATTTAGATAATTAAAGAATAAGCCAAATAAATATTTTCACTCAAATAAACTCACCGACATGACTGGGAGCTAAGTTGGCCAAAGCCACCACCTTGTGTCCAGCAGCAACACACTGCAGCAGATTATAGCAGCTGTCCTTACCGCCAGATACCAACCCCACAACACGCATCCTGCATCAACAACCACCCTGCAAAAATAAACAAATACCATATAGGGAAAAGGTGTCGTAGCTACTTACAATTCTTTATCCCCGGTATGTGCTAGAATGTAATACAGAATAAAGAAGAAATATTTCATGAGTAACACACTAAAATACTACGAATACAAATAATCAAATGAACCGCTGTTGTATCATTATGGACTCAACATTTCGAGCTAATGTATTCATAAAAAACAAAAATTAACTTGGAAATCGCGCTTTACAGCCAAGAGGAAGAGTTACATGACTTATGAGAAGATGAACTCTGAACTCCTTTAACAAAGCTTCTCTGTCCAAGGGTTATAATGGAGGCTGAAGTACAGTACTGTATGCAGAACTATCCTAAAAATAATAAGTTTCTGGTTGTCTTACAGGAAAATCACTTATTATATAAATCAGGGGTCAGTGAAGGCGATATCTCAACCTTGGTCCAGTTGTTGCTTTAAAGTGTGAAAGTCTAACAGTCAGCAAGACAAATCTCTTGCCATATCACATAACTTGAACTCGCAGCCAAGAACCTGGGTTTCATAACTTAAACCCACTCAAATTTGTCCCACTATACATAAACCTACCAAGGGAGGAGGGAGGGATTCCAATATCCTCAACTCTTCCTCTTGGCTATAAAATGGAATATGAAAGTTAAATCCTTTTCTGTCTGCCCTATGAGTCATTGTCAAGTGAATTTATAGAATGCAACCAACTAAAAAAAGGGTTGGAGGAGGTCATGGAGGGAAACCCTGCATCAGCATTAAGGAGAGAAACTGAAAGACAATAAGGGGAACAGAAAGAGCAAAGGAGATATGTGGTGATATGGCTGCATAGAGGCTCTGCTGTTATGGTCATCACTTCATAGAGGAGGTCCCCCAGGGAGTGAAGTATTGCAGATAAGAGTAAGAGAAATTGAAGGCAAAAAGCTCTCCCTGTCATAGGGACAAGGAAGGATCCCATGCACTATCCATCATGTGCAGTAATACAGTCTTGCTCACATGTACTCTTGTGTACTGAAATGGTTATTACTGTCTCACTGGTGGGAACTTACATATAGGGCAACACTCAGCACTCTTCACTGGTAGGTCACTATGGTATGAGCAGTTCACCACTTACTCATACAGAGAGAACTGCTGTCATCTGCCATTATCCTCCTTTCCAGCTATGACAGCTTGTAAAAGAAAAAAAAGCATCTTAATACCTGTACATGGGTCTCTCAATATATTCCTCTAGTATCACTATTTACAAAAATTTCTACATATATAACAAACTACACTAGAACCCCCGTTACCTGTTGCCCGGGTAACCCGGCAGATTCAACTACAATACAGTACTGGCACTAAAATTAAATAATAATAAAGATTCTTCCAGAATCACTGAGATTCTTAAGTTTGAATACCGCTTGCAACAGGTATGAGCTGCCATAAATATTGCTTTGACAAACAATAAAATTGAATTTGCGAGGTCAGTTTGTAGCACTGTGAGTTGTAAAATATATTGGGGAACCCTAAGTGAGGTTCAACTAACAGGAAAATCTCTCTATCCGGCACCTCTCAATCCCCGTACGTGCTGGATAACCGGGGCTCTACTGTATATAGTTTGTCCAGAACTTTGTATATGTTCTGGGGAGAATTTTTACTAATACAGTACATTATAGTACGTCTCTTTCTCTAACTAGGTATTACGTGGGACAGTCTAGGAAAAGAAAAATTCCAGTGTAGCCAACAAACAATCTGTCAAAGAGGCACACTCCCCTCCCAACACAGTACAGTATATTATTATATACTCAAACTATATAAGATACGGATACATGTTAGAAAAAGTAAAAAGTTTATCTTACTGGAAAGTAAATATTTTTCTCTATTAAACACCCTAACATAAGATCATACAGCAGTGGTCTTACTGTGCTCATAAACATCTATTGTTATTATTTAGATTAAACTGTACACTAAAGTCATCATTATCATCACCATTTTATTGTCATTTTCTTTTTGCGCTGTTAGTCTTGATTACTTGATGGCAGCTCTCCATGCTACAGTCTCTTGCAGTCTCTCTCATCAGGTTACTTATTATCAACCTCTCAATTCTTGACCTACCCCAGGCTCTCCTCCACTCCACATTCAAACTCATGCATCTCTTGACCCAGTTGATCTCCTCCATTTTCTTTTAAACAAAACAAAAAATATTAAATGAAGAAATATGAGCCTGTCAGACATAATGCTTAATGTCAAGACTTACCGGTACTTCACACAAAGACTTTAAAATATTTTTCTTTCAAGCAAAAAAAAAAAAAAATGAAAAAATGTGAACATATCAGACCTACGAGAACACCTTCACTACGGGAGCGCCACTTTTAACATTTCATTTGGCTCATGTCAGATGATTTTTATTCAGCTCAAGAGGTGAACCCTATATACAGTACAAGGTGTTAAACACTGAGTCACTGGCTCTGGCAATATCCACAGGTCATTTCCCTTTTTCAATATACTTAAACTTCTCCATCTTCACCTCAGATGTAACACTTCTCCTTTGTCTCATCTCTTCTAAGAACATCAGCAACTATCACTTGCTGATCATTTAGGACTTTTATTTTTAAGGTTTATTTTATGATTTAGTTATCATTAAAACCCCGTACAGTACACATTGTTTGCTACCCTCAAACTTACATCATACAGTTTCTTTATATGGTTTGTTTGGTCATACGTTTTGTGTTTCTTAGTACTGCATTCTAACCTATATAAAAATAAAATGTCTATGTATTATACAGCAGGGTACTTCCTCTACTTACGAACTTTCTCAAATACGAACAAACCTGTCGGTATAACAAAATTTCTGTTCGGTGCGAAAGTGCAAGGGTTGTTAATTCTACCGAAGCTCAATAGATGGTCTTAGTGCACTAATCCCAGCATTCCCGGCCAAGTGGCAGCCGTTTTAGTTGTTCTTGTCTCGTTCGCAGCATTACTGACGTGATAGTTTGCTTCTCATGGCTTTTACGGACATTACTGACCCCCAATATGTCCAAGAAACACAAAGGTAGTGCCAGTGATGAAAGACACATGATAATAATGGAAACGAAAGTGGTGATGATAAAGCAAGTGGAAAGAGGCGATAAGATGGCAAATGTGGCTCATGCTTTCGGACTGAATCGTTCGACCGTTGGTAAGATTTTAAAGGACAAACAAAGCATTATGGAGCATGTAAAATGTCCTGTGGCTATGCAATCGACCATCATAAGTAAGAAAAGAGGAAAATTGCATGATAGAAAAATTTAGTGTTTGTGGCTGGAAGATCAAAATCAACATTATATGATGGAATACTGTGTTGTAGCTGTATACAGGTTGACAACCCTTTATCCAAAATTCTGAAAACCGAAAAGCTCTGAAAACCGAAAAAATTTTGTAGAGCAATTTTTTTTTTTTTTTTTTAAACAGGGATTAGCCCACCCAGGCATAGATCACTGACCCACATCAGGGCCTGGGGGGCGAAAAAGTAATAGTAATACTAATTATAATAATAATAATTATTCATAGTAAATAAATTTTTTAATTTAAAAATGCACCAAAATAAAATAATAATGATAACAATAATAATAATAATAATAATAAAATATAATAACAACAATAAGACTGTATTAATAAAATACCGTATATACTCGTCTATAACCCCCCTCGTTTATAGGTCGACCCTGATTTTTTGACCAAGAAATCGTTAATTTACGATATTCCTCGTTTATAGTTCGACCCACATTTTTTAGGGTAATGGAACAACAAAACCTTCACTAAAAACGCTGTACGTCCTATAAACTGAGGCTCACCGTGCCTGAAACACGCGTGCCGAGGCAAATTGTTTACCATTTATTATTACGACACTTTACACTGAAACGCGGATAGTTTCAACAAAAATATTGTATATTTCCATTCAAGTATTTATTCAAGTCAATTAGGAGGGAATATTATTGTAATACAACAGTTTTTAACTAAACCATTCGAAAAGCGATTACGGTAACATCTTTTGAACGAAAGAAAGCGAAAGTCATTGTTTTCGTCACGATTTTATCCCACTTTCCACTGTAATACGTACGTAATTTCAGCAAAAATATTACATTTCCGTGAATGTATTATATCAAGCACAGTATGAATAGAATATCATTGTGATATAAGAGAATTTTAACCGAAAACTATTAAAAAAACGAGTAACATCTCAAGAACAGAAGCTTAGGTAAAGTCTTATTTTCGTCATGTATTTTATCCTATTTTACATTGAAATACATCACGTTTCAGCAAAACTACTATTTATTTCCGAGAATATATTCATTCAGACGCAGTTTAGGTAAAATATACGTGTGATGTAATAGTTTTTTAACTGAAAACGATTCGAAAAACACGTGTACCCTCTAGCCCTGTTCAAGGAGAGGACTGGGAGAAGCTGTTTGGTGCTGCAGACGATGACAAGGAAAATGATTTTGATGGATTTTAATGAAAATATTCAGAAATATGGTATCGTAGTATTTATTCAAGTCAATTAGGATAGAATATTATTGTAATACAACAGTTTTTTAACTGAAAACCATTCGAAAAGCGATTACGGTAACATCTTTTGAACGAAAGAAAGCAAAAGTCATTGTTTTCGTCACGATTTTATCCCACTTTCCACTGTAATACGTACGTCATTTCAGCAAAAATATTACATTTCCGTGAATGCATTATATCAAGCACAGTATGAATAGAATACCATTGTAATATAACAATATTTTAACCAAAAACTATTAAAAAATGAGTAACTTCTCTTGAACATCGGAAGGTTAGGTAAAATCTTTTGTTTTCGTCATGTATTTTATCCTATTTTACATTAAAATACATCACGTTTCAGCAAAACTACTATTTATTTCCGAGAATATATTCATTCAGGCACAGTTAAGGTAAAATATACATGTGATGTAACAGTTTTTTAACTGAAAACGATTCGAAAAACACGTGTACCGTCTAGCTGATACAGCTGGTGGTGTGTCATGCGTCGTTGTAAACAATAGGAGGTTGAAGTAGATTACCGGGTATTATATTAAGTGTGAAATATCGAAAAGGTTTTTATTACCGGTATTTCTTGTAGATCAATGAGAACTGTGATACCGTATATGATATGATAAATTAGCCTGTGCTAAGAACTTCAACATAGACTACTGAAAGCACGTTGTAAGGTAATTTAGCCTATTGTAAGTTGGTGAGCTTCATTTGCTGAAGGAACTGCACAACTTTTCATTACTAATTGGTACATATTTTACGTTTCCATTGTTTACTGGCAGTAAATGGTAAATATTTTTCAAGTCTGAAGCTAAAAGTTGCTCCTCGCCCTTCCCATCATGCACGGGTTCAACCTAACAAAACTATTACACATGTATAGGACGACCCCCAATTTTTTGCCTAAAAATTTGGTCTTAAAAACTCGAACTATACACGAGTATATACGGTAATAATAATAATAATATAGAAATACAAGAATGAAAAAAAAGATAAAAAGTGAGAAACACGACCTAGATCTGTGAATTATTATTATTATAATTGTTATTATATTTTTGCCCCCCAGGTCCCAATGTGGGTCAGTGACTTGTGCCCGGGTGTGGAAAAAAAAAAAAAACTAACCATTCTGAAAACCGAAAAATTCCGAAATCCGAAATGCCTCTGGCCCCAAGGATTTCGGATAAGGGATTGTCAACCTGTATAAGGTATTTTTAAATTTAACAAATTGTTTGCAAATGATAGAGGTGAATTTGGACTTACGAGCAAATGGACTTACGAACAGACCTCCGGAACCAATTACGTTCAAAAGTAGGACACTGCCTTTTCATTTTAATACATTCTTTGTTTTTCCATCAACAAAGAAGCAATGTGATGAACACTGCAAAGACGTAATAGGCAGTATGTGAGGTGGGGGTATGGCAGGACTTGGTGATGAGGCGGCACATGTACTTATGCAGGATTCACACTAGATACGCTCCTCGGGCCCACATTGCGACAGCGCTGAATTGTGTAAAAGTGAATCCAAACCGAGGACTGTATAAGAGATAAAGTTACATTTACTTCACCGTGAATACCATAAGTGAAATGTGGTAAAGTGAGGGCAAACTGTATTAGGAGAAAAGCAATTAAAGAGGCAGCAGCCCCCCAATGAACTAGACATTTATTATAATTATCAATGACATGCAGCATTAGTTGGAAGCTGAACAGTGTACTGGGTCACCTACAGAAAAAAATACAGTGCCTTGTACAATATGAGGCACACACACTGCAAAAATAATATATACTGTAATAAAATAAAGTACAGTATAGCTAAGTTAATTAGAACAATATATTAAGGTAAAATATCTATCATTCCCCCTCTGGGATGTTACCGGTACCTCTGGGGTGAATCCACAGTGAGAATACTACAGTACAGTCATACATGACAGAGTTAGGGTCACCGTGTATGAACTTTCCAAAAAGAGGACATTCTGGAAAGGTGGTGTGGCTAAATTATTGGTCTCGGCAATAGCTGACAGGACGGCTTGGGTTATTTTGTCGGTCCTTAAACTAACTTAACCTAACAAATAATTTTTTTGTATATAAATATCATCATAAATCATGTTTTTCTTTACAAAATAGCCCAATACAGCCTGTCAGCTATTGCCATGACTGGTAATTTAGCCTAACTGTTTTTATTATAGTATGGTAATAATATATAATTTACTACAATAATTTCTATGCCCGCTTAATAGTTATAAAATTTCCATAATCAGAAATATTGTATTACTACACAGTACAATACAGTATATACCGGTAATTATAAAAGAACAACTGCAACCAAACAAAAATGGGAGGAATTCTCCATGGGAATTATTACGCATAATTTAAAAAGTAACGGCAAAAAAATTGCAAATCCTTGCAATTTTGGGGTATTTCCTTGAAGTAAGAAATAAATTATATTTGTATAAGTTTTTTTAGGTCAATTTGTAGTTTCAACCAACCACAGCTCTTGAGTCGAGCTATGTGTTTTCCGATGGTTTAGACAATTTTAACTCTTGTATATGACGTTTCCCTCGCAAATGACCTAAAATTATCTAACCTAACCTCCTAACTAGGGCCTGCTCCTTCCCTCCGGATCCCCCGGTATATTTAAGTCATTTGTGAGGGAAATGTCAAAGAGAAGTCTTAAAATTGTCTAAACCATCAGAAAACACATAGCTCAACTCAAGAGCTGTGGTTGGTTGAAACTACAAATTGACCTCTTTTTAAACTGGATGATGGCTGAGCACACCAATTTTCTCTATAAAAGATGAATGGTTTCTTCCCCCAGAAAAATAAAAAAAAAGGGGAAAAGATTAAAATTTCTTAAATGTTTTCATACTTTTTTCCATGCCTGAGAGTAATGTACACTTGCATTAAACACCATTGTTTATATCCGGGACATTTTGTTTCATCCACAGAAACATTTCCAAAAACTTACCAAATATTACTACTGTACATTATAATATCAATAGGTGTTAATATAAACCGACCGAAAACTACGTAACTTCCTAACAAACATTATGTGGATTAAGTTAAATTTGCTCATTTTGTCCGATACTATAAATCATAAAGTGTAGCAATAGGCATCAACGTGTTCCTCTGTGCAACATTGCTGTGGAAAAGTTAATTGTTACGGAGATAAACAGTGAAGACTGCAGAGTGTAATGGGCATGACCATACAAATGTTTGGGGTGGAAAATATAGATTAAAACCTCGCTTGCAAAATTTTTATTCCTTCCCACTTTTATAGTTTTTCAAGAGGTAAGAAAGTATTTATCTAATACAAAAAAAATTTCCTTAAGTTGCTGGTTAACGTGAACTACCGTTATCCAGTAATAATGAAATGTTTTCAATAATTTTATACTGAACGGGTATAAAATTTTTGTGATCTTGTAATTAACAGGCATAAAATCAACTGTCTCATGTTTGTTAAAGGATGGATTTGTTGGTTCTTTTCATAAATAGTTTCTTTTTACAAAATAAGAATAGCAGATGCCGCAACTAGCTTTTCATTTTAGGTTAGGTAGGCAGGTTAGGTAGGCAGGTTAGGTAGGCAGGTTAGGTAGGTACGTTAGGTCGGCAGGTTAGGTAGGCAGGTTAGGTAGGTACGTTAGGTAGGTACGCTAGGTAGGCAGGTTAGGTAGGTACGTTAGGTAGGCAGGTTAGGTAGGTACGTTAGGTAGGCAGGTGTTGTGTAGGGGCAGGTGGGCAGGCTAGGTAGGGTAGGCAGGGGTTAGGTAGGGCAGGTTAGTAGGCAGGCTAGTAGGTAGGTGGTGGGTAGGTAGGGGTAGGTAGGTAGGCAGGTAGTGGTGGGTAGGGTAGGTAGGTTGGTAAGAATGCTAGGCAGGCACGCTAGGCAGGCACGTTAGGTAAGCAGGTTAGTAGGTAGGCAGGTAGGCAGGTGGCAGGTACAGGTTAGGTATATAGTTAGGCAGGCAGGTTAGGTAGGGTAGTGGTGTAGGCAGGTGGGGTAGGTAGGTAGGGTAGGCAGGTTAGGCAGGCAATGCCAGGTAGGCACGTTAGGCAGGCAATGCTAGGTGGGTAAGCAAGGGGTTAGGCAGGCAGGTTAGGTAGGGTAGGTTAGGTAGGTGGGTAGGTTAGGTAGGCAGGTTAGGTGGGTAGGGTAGGTGGGTACGGTAGGTGGGTAGGGTAGGTAGGCAGGTTAGGTAGATAGGTTAGCTTAGGTTTGTTTTGAGTAAGTAGGTTAGATTAGATCTGGTCAGGTTATATCTAAGCTGTTAAGGTTAGGCTATAATTTCATGAAAAATATATCATATTATAGGAGTACAGTACAGTATACCCCAAGACACACAAATGTAAAGAAAGAAGTGTGTAATTTTACCTTTAAATATAAGATTACTAAATTTCCTTCAAGTTTCTGGTTATCCCATGACATTATTCTACAGGACAACCCTTTATTGGTGGTCAGGAGGCAAGCCAGAAGTTACATTTCCCACACCAGTTCTGACAGACAAAACCACCCGGTAACCTTCTATACTTCTCTAACCTATTTGCTGTTGGGTTTATTAATGAAGCCATGACTGATAGAAGATTAAAGGTTAAGCCAAGACACAGCTATGAGAGAAATATTAGTGTATGGGGTGGCTCTGTACCGCCTCACACCCAATTTTTATTCCATCAATCACCTTACACAGACAACCTCTACAGTACTCTAGGTCACTCCCCCGGTCCACTCACCTCTTTAAGGTCACAGAAAGTACTGTTCCCAGTCACTATCCCTGATTAGACTGTATATATCCTCATGGTAAGAGGTATTGCCAAAACATCACAGATGATAATACAGGTTAAAGGAGACTTGGGATTGGATGGTTAGGTAAAGACCAGCCAATTACTCCAGACTTTCAATACTATGTTTAAACAGCGGGATATTTGAAACTATTATAGCTTAGAGTGTTGGTATCCTCTGAGGTTTATATTAAGTTATTAGACATTACTTTTACATATTAAATCGAGTAATGATATCAAAGAGTAAAATACTAGAATAAAAAAAAATTACGTCGTAGTTTATGATAGTTACAGCAAGGGAGTGATTAACTCTATTCCTAACCTCTAAGTATGGTGTAATGCTTGTTATATTCAGTCACAATTATTATATACGTTATCTATATTTTTTTGTTAAAATATAGTTATTCTCAATGGCTTTCTCGTGCTATCCTTGATCTAATTGTCTTAATGTCTAATGTCTATGTACTGTCTATGTACATTCTATACCTACACTGTATATGTGTATTGTTTGTATACTTCCAATGTCTATCTATAAGTTGAATTAATGCGAACTTCTATGTTGATTCTTACTGAATAATTATCTATCTACATGCATTAAAGTTCCCTACTTGACCTTGTGTATACAGGATGTAATTCCCATCAAATACTAAACTTTATCCTCTATGATTTTTCAGGAAGAATCCACATCGTTATTATTCACCTAAGGAACACTTAAACCTGAAGGATCTTGCTTGTTGAAACAGATAATTTTCACTCAGAGTTTCTACTAACAGAAGTTTCATTTTATATCTCTTACAACTCTATAAAAATGTCTTCACTATGCGCCGCCCTCATTTGACTGACTCTAAGATCCTCTCTAGAATAAATAACCAGATAATTCTTACATGTTTCTTTTTATCCTCTTCACCAAATGATTGACTCGTTAGCTGCTTGGGTGATCGGTCACGTCTCTGTCACGCACTGTTGGCAAGTACTGGGCATGTACCGGCTCCTGAATGTACCTGAACCTGCTCCAGTGTTGGTCAAGTCTTGTCTTGAAAGAGCTCACACTCCGTGCCGTCACAACACTTTCTGGTAGATTGTTCCAAGAGTTTGTAGTGGATCCCTCCCCTACAAACGCTGTTTGTCGCTGAGTAGCCGACCCCGCGAATTCCCCAGTGTATTCCTCGTGGTCTAGGTCAACCAGCGCCGCCTTACATGACGGAGGTCAACTATTAAGCCACGCCTACCTCCGCTATATAAGACCTGACCTCGTGGTGACCTACCTCACTCTTTTCTACCTACACCAACCAGCAAGCAACACCTCCTCCTCCTCCTCCTGCCTGGCGGCCCTCGCTCCCGCCGGCGAGCATGGCGACCCACAAGCTTGTCCTCCTCTGAGCACCCTCACCAACCGGCTCTCTCTACTCAACGCTTGTAACCATGCTGCCTTCCCAGCACCAAGCTGCATTGTACATCCAATACAACATGTATACAGAGAGCACATTGTGAGTTTCCTTTCTCTATCCCATCCTGAGTCCGAACAAACATCTCTCACCCCACAAATGGTGACCCCCGGAGATTCGCACTCACACAGGATGGAGGAGAAACTGATCACTCTCCCAGTCTTCAAGCAACATGGAAGACTGGCTTACCCACGCAGAGGCAGCTCTCATCGGCTCTACAGCTACTGTCTCTACACCGCAGGTTAGACACCCTAGAGCAGCTCTGCTACTCTAAGCAGACAGCCGCTCCTCTTCCTGCCCCAAGCACCACGTCCTACCGACCCCAACAAACCCGTCCTGCCTCAGACGCCGCCCCCGGCCCAGCAGTACCCCCTGCCGCTCCTCCTGATGCAGCCCCTGCTCCCGACGCGGCCCATGCGCCTGAGCGCGGACCCACACACCCCTCTTTTCTCCCCCAGGTACTCCCTGCTACTGTCCTGCACCCTGCTGCAGTCGTGGACCCTGCTGCTCTCATGCACCATGCTGCTCTCCTCCTCTCCTGCTGACGCAGCCCCTGCTACTGACCCAGGCCCAAACACCCCAGCAGGCGCATCTGGCGACTCTGTACCTGCCGTGAGGGAAGCACAACATTCATCGCCTCCACACACCCTTTTTCTCCCTCTCTACTCCCACAGATATTGTGTATCTAGACAGTTGTCTCCTCTAGCGGCCGGCTCATCCACGCCCTCGCCGTTATGGCTAACATGTGGCATGCACCGCCCGTTTTGCCTCACATGTGCCATGCAACCCTGCAGACAACAAGTCTCCTACACCGCCTGGAGGGAAGGAGGGAGTATTGTAGTGGATCCCTCCCCTACAAACGCTGTTTGTCGCTGAGTAGCCAACCCCGCGAATTCCCCAGTGTATTCCTCGTGGTCTAGGTCAACCAGCGCCGCCTTACATGATGGAGGTCAACTATTAAGCCACGCCTACCTCCGCTATATAAGACCTGACCTCGTGGTGACCTCTCTCTCTTCTTCCAGCTACAGCCGCAAGCTACACCACCTCCTCCGCCGCTGCCTGGCGGCCCTCGCTCCCGCCGGCGAGCATGGAGACCCACAAGCTGTCCTCCTCTGAGCACCCTCACCAACCAGCTCTCTCTACATCACGCTTGTAACCACGCTGCCACTTCCCAGCACCAAGCTGCATTGTACATCCAATACAACATGTATACAGAGAGCACATTGTGAGTTTCCTTTCTCCATCCCATCCTGAGTGTGAACCAAACATCACATACCCCACAAGTTCACAACTGTCACTCCGAAAAGTAGATACACCTCAATTAGGTCACCCCTTGCCCGTCTGTATTATACGCTAGGCAAGTTCAGGCGCTCCAATCTTTCAGGGTAGCTGAGGTGCCGAGGTGCAGGCACCAGTCTGGTGGCCCTCCCTCGAACATTTTCAACCAACTGACAGTCCCTAGCATATCTCGGGTACCAGACGGGGTGACAGTACTCCAGATGGGGAAGCACTTCACTCTTGAAGATCGTTATGAGGGACGGACCGTCTAGATATCTGAACGACCTTCTTATAAGACCCAATAATTTATTTGCCTGATTTACCTTCTTCTCGCAATGGCCCGAGAACTTCGGCTGATTGTCAACATACACACCTAGGTCTTTCTCACATTTACCGAAGGCTCAAGACGTACCTGGCGCTCCTCTCGGAGCAGCCAGGTCAACTGTTAAGTTGGCCCATACCAACCCCCTCCCCTGAACCCCCCTCCCCACCGGGATATCAACAAGTTCTTGCCAGAAGTTACAATTTCATTTAGGAAAGGAATGAAACCAGTGTAAAACAGAGGTGAACAGTGGTGAACAGTGCTTAAGTCAGTGAGAACAACTCAACAGTAACAGTCGTACCCAAGCTAACCTTCACACAGTGAGGTCCCAGGTACCCAGTGATAACGGCCCGTGAGACCCAACAGCAACCAGCGATGTGTTAATCCGTCTACGATAGGAAGGCCTGGGACCACACCTCACTCATATAACACCATCTGTGAGGGAATTACTACACCAGGTCCCTCATAACATCATCTGTGAGGAAGTTACTACATCACGTGAGGCCCCTCATAGCACCATCTGTGAGGGAATTACTACACCACGTGAGGTCCCTCATAACACCATCTGTGAGGGAATTACTACACCACGTGGGCCCCTCATAACACCATCTGTGAGGTAATTACTACATCACGTGAGGTCCCTCATAACACCATCTGTTAGGAATTACTACATCACGTGGTCCTCCTAACACCATCTGTGAGGGAATTACTACACCACGTGAGGCCCCTCATAACACCATCTGTGAGGGAATTACTACACCACGTGAGGTCCCTCATAACACCATCTGTGAGGGAATTACTACACCACGTCAGGTCCCTCATAACACCATCTGTGAGGACACTACTACACCACGTGAGGTCCCTCCTAACACCATCTGGGAGGAAGTTACTACACTCACTACGTGTCTGCTGTTCAACACCTCAGCTCACATGATCTACGTGACCTCCACTGTAAACATTAATCTGTATGTTCACTGTATGTTCCTTTACCTTTCTCTAATGAAAGCTTTTGTTAAACCACCAATGTATGTAATAAGTCATTTATGTCCAATGTATATTTTCAGCCTTCGGGCTGCAGAACTTTTTCAAAAAACCGTTAATTATTATTATTATTATTATTATTATTATTATTATTATTATTATTATTATTATTATTATAGTGCAGTTTCTTCATCCCGTTGGGACATATGATACCCCTCCTTACCGTTGGTACGCCCCAGGTGCATCCTCTTACACTTGGATAAACCCGTAAATATATTATAACCGAAAATGCATTTAAATTAAATTCATCAGGATCAGCTTTCCTAAATTCCGGTCACAAAATAAATAGCGTTAACTGTAAAATAAGTCGTTTCCCGTGAAATAGTGTTCCCTGCACAATAAAGTGTTCCCTGTAAAATAAGTTGTGATTCAAGTCAAATAAGTAGTGTCTCCCGTTTAATAAGTAGTGCTTCAGGTCAAATAAGTCGTGTTTCCCGTAAGTAGTGTTTCCAAAAGATCTAAGCAGTCTTGATAATATGAAATTCACGTCTATACTCCATCATGATGTCTTTTGTTTATGCTGAATGTGCTTGTCTAGTTTGTTATATTGTAGTGAACTTCCAACCCCTGAGCCTACCATCATAACACCATAGTCAGAGGTGGACATTGCACCGAAATTGAAAATGGAACTGTATCAAGGCTGCCCCATAGAATTTTGAGAATATTGTAGTGGACGTCTCCCCTACAAACTGCGTATCGCATTCCAATGTGCCGCCTTCCCTAGCAACCAACCAGATGTTACCGTATCTTAGCAACGAAACTATTCACCGGCGACTTCTCGGGTTTTCCCAACATGACTCATAGAGGACTAGCGGCTGCTGCTGGGTGTATATAAGCTCTGTCTCTCCATTGAGATTCATTCTGACCATATTTCTTGAACAAGCAACACCTCCTCCTCCGCCGCTGCCTGGCTGCCCCTCGCATCTCCTCGCCTGCCTGGCGGCCCTCCCTCCCGCCGGCGAGCATGGCTACCCACCA